TTGTCTAAAAACCATCTAAAAACTGTCTGATTTATTGGCCGTTTTTAGGTCTTAAGAAACTACTGTGTAAAAACGGCCAGTAAACGGTAAGACCAAAAAAAGCCAGTTAACTGTCTGTCAATGGACCATTAACCACACAGTTAACTAGCTGTTTTTTGGCTTTTCCGTTTACTGGCAGTTATTAGACGGTATTTTTGCAGACCTAAAAACGGCCAATAAACTAGATAGTTTCTAGGTGGTTTTTAGACAGTTAACACGTTGTCAACTGGCAGTTTTTAGGCAGACTGTAAACTGGCAGTTAATGAGCAGTTTATTGCCCGTCTTTTTTCTCCTGGGAACTCGCAAATATTTTTCTCACGACTTGCATGATTTATAGTTACGATTTTCGAGAGAGAACTCACGTAATTGTTGTTCTTTTTTATTCTAATAGAAGTAAAGTTTTCCTTGATTTGTGAGACGAACACTGTGCACTTGGATTAACTTGCACTTGTGGATTTTTGGTTATAAGTGCTGTTTATATCGTTGATTGTGCAATTATGATATCTCTCCAGATCCCGCGTGTTTTTATTCACTTTTTTCTTTTAAGCTACCCTAACGAATAAACATTTAGAAAATCCTGCGAGATTTTCGAAATGGTTCCTTTGGGCAGAAACTGCAACTAGATTTTCTTTTCATCCGTTCTTAAGAGCTTTAAGAACTAGAACTCTCTATTCCTATGAGATTGCGCTAGCACACGCAATTTTCAATTCACAATCCCCCCTAATAGTTTTTCTGCGTATTGTTGTGACCAATGCTGAAAAGATAGTAGATGAAACATATCAGAAAGTTTTGTTACTCCAAAATGACAGCACGTTTGATATTTGTAATAAGTAACGCCGTGATAAACGTGCTGTTATATGAAGTAAAAAAACATTCTGATATGTTTCATCTACTCTCTTTCCCATAAGAGATTTTCTCACGCACCGTGCGGTCGCAGAAACCGTTTTCAGCTCCTCTAGGAAAATGAAAGCTTTCAATTATTGGGGGAAGAGGTACCTCCTACATCAGCTGGTCGGCTCGGTGTTACTCTTCAGAAATATCTATTAGTCATTGTTGACGAGATTCTTCCAAAGTCGATGTAAAATAGAAAAAAGAAATACACGTCATTTTGCAATCAGTTAACTGATCTCTCTTGTTGTTGCTGCTATTGCTATCTCAATCAGGGCCCTATAAAACTAAATATTTGCTTTACTTAAAACCGTTGATCTGGTAAGGCAAATTTATACGATCTTTTTCAAACTACGGTGACAAAGGAACTTGTGTTTGGGTAAAAACTCCCAAAAAATATTTTTAAAAATTTCCTGCAAACTGTCATTTGCCCTATTTTCGTACTATCAGTTGTTTTATCCAGGTGTTTTACTATTAGTTTTTATAGTGGTATCAACTGTACTTTGCATTTGATGTAGCCGATCATCGATTGAAACACCTTGTACTTCTCTGTGTAATTTATTCATTTTAATGTTAGCTGCTTCTAGAGCTTGTTGAAGAATAAACATTTTTGTTTGTTGTGCTTGGTGATTCAAAGACCCCAATTTATGTTCTGAAGTTTTTATTATATCTTCTTTGCTTTTATTTAATTCCTCTTGTAAACTATCTAATTGACTATGTTTTTCTTTATCTAATCTTTCAATTTCTTGTTCTACTAATTGTTGATACCTTTCTTCCACTGCATTTTGTTTGTTATTAATATGTTTTAATAAACGGCTTTGTTCATTATGCTGATCAGTTATTATATGTTGAATAACCAAATTTGTTTCATCCGTTATTCGTCTTTGTTGATCTTTAACATGTTCATCTACATGAATATGTGTCGAACCCAATCGTGCCATTATTTCTTTCATTACATCTGTTATTGTACAATCAATTTTTGTTTCATAATCTGTTCTAACTGCCGTATCTAACCCAGATACAGGTGGTGGAATATCTTTATTGTATGCTACGTTACCGCGTTTTGTTATTTCTTGACGATGTTGACCGGTAGCTGCTGTTACAACAAGGGCTCCTGATTGTTGACGTGGTTGTTGATCTAAAACTTTTATTAATTCCGCTGTATTTTGACTATTAAAACTAAACTAAAACGAAACAACAGAAAAAACCACGATTGAGAAAACCTTTTTATAATACTGAAAACTGCATTGTTTCTATAGTTAATGCTCACTATAGCATATCAATAAGCATCTGAATCTTAGACACAACTAAGAGTCTCTTAGGCACAGGCATACCCAATACTAACAATCCATTCCTCGAGGGAAAATCCCAGCTTGTGAATAACTTTTCAAATGAAAATCATATGACTACCAGTAATTGATCATGCCAGTTCTGAATATGACACAGAGAGTGGCCCATAGACCGGCAGCAAATTACTTTATTAATAATTTCGGTTATTAAAGTCAAAGTTTTTTCATTCAAAATCACATTCTGCTCAGTCTCATTTCTAGAGAATGCTGGGGCGTCTGTACCGGTTTATTAGTGAGATTCAGGGCCAGATTTGCACTACCAAGTAAACTTACACACGAGACATACGCTAAAACTTGAAAGGGGCTACTTCAGAGTACTTCCAAAGCTCTCTAACAACGATCGGAACGGTTTTGGATCAAACCAAAAGAATTTTTTCTAATTAATTTGTATCACGGAGAATATTGGAGATTTCCAAGTGTTTGCTCACGAAAAGTCGGACTTGTCAAGTGGGTACCCTCTTAAAATGGAATACAATGACCTGAATTCTATACATCCTGACGTTTCCAACTCGTCCTGATATTTCTGAGTGAGCTTTGAGCTTTTTAATATTAGGTTCATGCTTATCGAATCGTGTGCCTGAGAGATTAGTTAGTGACTTTGGACATTTATTAAAGCACTAACCCTAATACAACAAAGTATATAACATGAGAAAACTATGTTGTGTAGACGGTTTTGAGTCCTTCGCTGAAAACTGAATGTGGTAGAAAAAGAAAAGATGAACAGTTTTATGTAGAAAAATATTTGGTATATTAAATGCTGCTGGGGAAAATGTTTTCATATGCGTACGTTTTATACAAGTCGCTCCAGAAAAAGTGAAATGTACCGGATAGCACCGGTGCATGCCTAGGTTTTGCACGAGAAAAACGACAGATAACCATAAGACCATGCTCAACCGATGTCTCAGATTTGCTTCTGACTAGTCCCATTTTGTTTAGCATGTGCGAAAAAAAACTACAAATCCAGATTTTCAGCGTTCTAGGACTTTTACTTTCTGAGTTCCGAACGGTTTTCTATAGTCCGATCGATGGAAACTTCAGCGTCTAAAAAGAGGAGAGCAAAAACAAAAATTCTGTTTCTCCGCGAAGACACGTGATGGAACAGAGATTTTTTCATCCTATGTGATCCATTGCACGGTCTATCCGGTAACGCGATCAGATCGTTTTTACCTCAGACCTTCAGCCCGACAGCGAAGGTCTTCTGAGGATCTTAGAAGTTCATATTGTATGCCACCGGTCTCGAGCGTGTGGCTTAAGTGTAAAACGAGATGTCCCTTTTCATAAACATTCAAGTGTGGTCTATCCGAATCCGGTCTCAAAAGTCTTGCGCCTCGTAAGGGTCTCTGAAAATCCTTTAGAGGCTTCTAGAAACCCGAAACAGTTTCTAAACTACATAATCAGAAAGAGCACAGAATCCTGAACAAAATGAAGTATCGTTCATAATTTTAGCAATTATTTTAAAACGGTGAAAAATAACAGTTGTTCAAGCAAAAATGGTTTACCATCAAAACCTATTTTTTAGGTTATCGAAATTTATGACTTAGAAACTACGAGTGATATCTCATTTTGTTCAGAACTTTGTGCTCTTTCCAATTATGTAGTTTAAAAACTTTTTCGAGAACCTTATTCCGGTTTCCCGAAGCATCTCATTTTATACTTAAGCCACACGCTCGAGATCGGTTGCATACAATATGAACTTCTAAGATCCTCAGAAGACCTTCGCTGTCGCGCTGAAGGTCTGAGGTTAAAACGATCTGATCGCATTATCGGATAGACCGTGCAATGGATCACATAGGATGAAAAAATCTCTGTTCCATCACGTGTTTTCGCGGAGAAACAGAATTTTTGTTTTTGCTCTCCTCTTTTTAGACGCTGAAGTTTCCATCGATCGGACTATAGAAAGCCGTCCAGAACTCAGAAAGTAAAAGTCCTAGAACGCACAAAATCTGGATTTGTAGTTTTTTTCACAGATGCTGAACAAAATCGGACTAGTCAAAAGCTCTTGTGAGAAAAGGAACTCTACAAATTTAGTGATGACGTTAATTTTTGTATTTTCTAATTCTTTTTCGTTTGTTAAAGAAAAAGAAATAAAGTTGCTCTTGTTATACACTTTATTTGAAAAAGTAGAAGGACGTATCGATGATTGGTTTATTAATGGGTAGAAATTTGCGAATAACAGGTATGTGTGTGGGTACGTTCATTACCAATTACAACCGACAACTATTAAGCGAAGTTCGCTTCTAAACAGTTACAAAAAAGCAGTTTACAGAAAAATATACAAACGAGGGTGGAATGTTACGTTAAAGTTGCAATCATTCCTTTTGGCCTGTATTTGCGGCTTTTCTTAATTCGCAGCTGCATATGGAAACGTGATTCGCAAGTATAAGAAAACTTGTCAATCCTTTTTCCGTATACAGCTACTAATTAAGAAAAGCCCCAAAATAATAAATTCTAGCTGGAAAAGAAACGTAGCACGATAAAAGGAGAAAGGAACGAGATAAAATTTCGCAAATGTTTTAGGTCATATATCTTTAGACAATATCAGTACATTCTCAATTAATTATCTTGCGGTCTGTTTTCGACTTCGCTTTATAGTTTGAATAGAAAAGTTTGACTGTTTTCTTACGAGGAAACATACTTCAATGATCAACCACTTTTTCGCCATGCCTGATGCGTTTATAGGTTAACGACCACGCTTATCCCGAATACGCATGTAAGACAGGCCGCTAGGCCGTCTTACAGTATTTTTCTCGAAAAATAGTTCTCTAAAAACCCCTCAAAATCTCGATCTTTCTGTTAGTAAGTTTCGATTATAGTCTACGAAATTAACAAAGTGAGACATCTCCGACGTCTAGATGACTTTTCTTTGCAAAGTTAAAGGATTTTCATGAAAAGCCCTAAATTAATTCCTTATTTCTGTAGCTTTGAGCTGACAATGAACATTGAGGGCTTTTCATGTAAATTCTATAACTTTGTACAGAAAGGTCATGTAGAGGTGAGAGATGTCTCATTTTGATCAAAATTTCGTAGACTATCATCGTAACGTACTAAGAGAAAGTTTTGGGGATTTTTCAAGGTTACTGGAAAACTGGTTTTCCTGAGAGCCATTGTGGGAAGCCCTAGGAGCCCGTCTCATTCGGATATTCGGAATCAGCGTGATCGATAACCTATAAAACACTAGGTTTGGTGAAACATTTGGTGATTATCACTTTTTTGCTGCAATTTATCTATAATCAACCAATAAAGCGGCAAGACCAATTCAATCAGTAACTCAAGCTCAACAAACATCCGAGCTTCGGTACGACATATATTTTATTCTATAGCAAAGTCGAGTAATAATGTATAAACAGCTTGTTTCGATCAAATGATGGCGGTCAAATGTAGGAACTCATTAATTTAAGAGAATATCTTTCTGTTTTCTATTGTGTTTTTCAGGCTATTTTTTCTCTGATACATATGTAACTTCAAATTTTCTTTTCTGCTGTCCGTGAGAAAACTGCACGTTGTCGACAAATAACGAAAAGGATTCATCGGTCGACGAAACGGGAATATACCAAAAAACCCAGATAGATAGATAGACCCATTACCTTGCCGTGTGGGGACCCCATCGCATCGAATGTTGACCGGGATTTCTGAGCAAAAACATGATTCTAATTCTAATAGTCCACCATGGGTGGTCCTAGCGTGGGGAGTTCCTGCGGGTACCTCCCAATAACTGAATATCAATTTTTTTTCAGCAGCTCGTGAGCGAAAAAGATTTTTGGAAGAAAAGCTCGCTGATGAAAACGAGTTTCAGTGAACCCCTTCCCCGAAACTTCCACAGAATACTGTTAAAAATATTTTGTTCTCACCCAGTCTTGAGTGTCTTGGGCCATCTCCGTTTTTTACTATACTAACGTTTTCTTCAATCAAAATTTTAGATTACATTCGTCTTCGCCGAACAAAACTGACAGTTCAACCAGATATCGTTTTCGTAACTTTTACCTGCCCATTAGTCCAAATAGACTTATAGTTGTCAAGATTTTTGTTTTGACCGAACGGTTGATACATTAATTTCGTAAATGCAGACATCGGTCGAGGTTCCGAGCGAGAAACCGGACGAACCACTGTCACAGGCCGAGGATTAGGTTTGCAACAGAAGGCCTCACAACATGTAGTTCCACAACAGGTAGTTTCGCAACAGGTCGTTATGCAACAGACATCATGACAACACGCGGTCTTCCAACAGAATATTTTGATACAGTTATTTCCCATAGTTCTTCAACAACATGAAAACTGAAGCAAAAAGAGAAAAAACATTAGCTTTACCCCGGGTCATAGCCCACACAATCCTATAGAGCATTGCATTTGAAAACATACGGAGGAATTTCATTGATATACCGACAATCTGGATTTTTATCGCCCGTGTGAGAAAAGGAACTCTACAAATTTAGTGATGACGTTAATTTTTGTATTTTCTAATTCTTTTTCGTTTGTTAAAGAAAAAGAAATAAAGTTGCTCTTGTTATACACTTTATTTGAAAAAGTAGAAGGACGTATCGATG